CCCAGCCACTGGAGAGGCAGCTGCCTTTGGAGGCTGATATGAGTGAGGAGGAAGAACACCTGGGGCCTGTTCCAGATGCTCGTATGCGCAGAGCAGTTAGGGGAGGTGAGCAACAGAGGACAAGGAGTCAACTTGGGAATCAAAGAACATATGGATGCTTTGATAGAAGGGGATGGTTGTCGTAGGAGACAACAGTTCGTATTTCTGAAGATTTTGTTCATTGTGTTTTGTGCCACAAAGACTGCTTGCCAGAATTTAATTTGCAGGCTTTCGGCTGGGAGCTCACAGCATTGCAATTATCGCAAAGAACTGATAAAGTCTGTTACTGCAGTTAACTGCTAGAAGGACTATTGCCTGGACTTTTCAGTGAGTGAATGCAATTAATTGACAAGAGGTAAATAAAGAGGGGTTTTTCGTGGCCAGGAGTCTGTTTCTTGCTTCTGCTAAGGCTGGGTCAGAACACTTCATCTAGGCCCATAGCCATTGATCTGCTTGACTTCCATGAATTGGTCCAAACCTTTTGTGAAGCCAGCTAGGCTGATATCCTGCACAACATCTTGTGATAGAAAATTCCAGAGTATTTATCAATACCATAGTTTCCTCAGAATCTCCTTTCAATTAACACAAAAACAGAACAAAGCATTGGGTGTTTTGTGTTCAAGAACAGCTATTAATGAGATGTTGAATTGAGATGATTTCTTCCATTTTGAAAACTAGATGCATATTTGACAATCCAACTCCCCTTTCCCGTCCCTCCCCAAAGCACATAAAATTTAGCATGGTGTATGAAATTGGTTATTGAACACAAAACATCTTTTTAGATTTTACAGCATTGATGTTAACTTCTGCAATGGTATCTGTTTTGCTGTCCTGATAAGAATCGGTGTGTCAAAATAACTGCAAGGAGGGAAGGGCAACTGAAGAAGGAACATAGTGTTTTATTTTGCTTTTTACTTTTGGATGTGGTTTTCTATAATTATTTTTAATTAGTTACGCTCAGGACATAAAACTTATGACTGTTCCTTGGTTTGGTACTGATGGAATGTCACATTATCATCACATGGTGAGGCATGAAATTTATTTACTTTACATAAACAGCCTCTACTTAAAACAACTTAATTCAGAGCATTCCTTCATCAATGGACGGCATTATATAGATCTTACTATATCATTTTATGTTAGCAGCAGAAAAAATAGCACCATTGTTTGCCCATGACTAGCATTTACAGTAAACAAAATGTTTTTTGAAGACAATGTAAGCAAACTTGAAAACAGCTGTCAGGAGATGAAATCGAGTTGTGTTGCTGCTGTCTAAAGCATGCAGTGTCTGTGTGTAGGATGGGTGCCGCATATTTCCAAAGGGAATTTTTGTTTCAGCATATGGAGGAGAAAATCCAAACACAATTAACCTTTATCTTGCTGAGTCCCGGACAGTACTTGATCACTTGGGGAGAGGCTTGTGTCTTGTGCCAGATAGAAAAAACGGTGCTTATCCACTGGGCACTTTCCTATTGATTAGAAAACAAAAGGATCTGTTACAAATGAGTTTGCCATGTCCAAGACAAAGCAGTGGAGTTTTGCAGTCTTTTTATTACTTTTTTTTTAAAGCTGCCTTCTGAGTTTTGCAATATTATTATATTGTATTTAGCCTGATTTTGGATAATCCTTCTAATCTAGCTTTCTGCCGTGAAGAGATCAAACAATGTGAAGCTAGCAGACTTTGTTTGCCTCTTCAGTCAGTTTGTCATTTGCCACAATTGTATAGTGCCACTGGCTGATCCCAAAAAGATACAATGGATCCCCAAAAGTAGAATGGAAATCCTTGGACAGGTAGAAGGCAAATGGTGTCTAGGCCTGATATTTAGAGCAAGATAAATTACAAAGTACTGTATACCGAGTGGTCTGGATCGTTATTTCTCAACCTTGTCAACTTTAAAGTAGGGGGACTTCAACTCCCAGAATATCCCAGCCAGTGTTAAAGTTGCTAATAGTGAAAAGCATTGCTCTAGACATTATGACATTTTCATGTGAGAAGATAAAAAATGTCATATACCAAGACAGACCCATTAGTCCAGCTTGTTCAGAGCTACCTACATTGATTGGTACCCCATCAAAATACTCATCTGCCCTAACTTGGCTTGTCTTCCCAATCTAACCAAGGTTGGCCAAGTCTTACATCATCTGAAAAGTGTAGACCGCAGACCTGCTGGTCATAGGAGTTGCCTTATATACTATTAGATTCTCCATAAAAAAGGTATCTTCTGAAATTGCTCTGTGGGGGATTCAAAGTACCATTGGCTGGAGATAATGGGCATTATAGTACCACACATCTGGATCATGGTAACTTTGTAACAATGCATTTTATAAATTTAGTCTAAGAGAGTTTTAAAAATGTTATTATTTAATGACCTTTCTTCATTACTTTCTATCAAAGTCTTTTTTACAAACCGAACCTGGTTATCTATAAGATAGAATTTATTATCTTTGTTATAATATTTTTCTTAAAAATGTTTTACAATTATAATATATTCCTAGAGTCAGTCCTATACATGTATATTCAAAAGTAATCTCCAGTACAGTAGGACTTCTGGTCACCAACACTTCTGACCACGACCAAATAGGGTTCCGACCTAAAAATTCACAATTCCCTCCCCCCTTCTAAAATTAGGTTTTGGTCACAACCAAATCGGTTTGTGACCAAAGTTATGGGGCAAATTATGGTTGTGACCAGAGGTTCTACTGTATGTTCAATATGGCAGATGTTGTGATTTATTTCTCAGAAATAAATTCCAAAAGCATGATGTAAAATTGAAACTTTGCATTGCAACCCCATGAATGCCTACTCAGAGGTAAACTCCTAAGAGTACAATAGGATTTAGCCTCAGAAAACTGAGAACAACATTGTGGTCTCACTTCACTTTGAAGTCTGAACCTCTCTTGAAATTATTTTGTAAGAAACTAAGTTTGGGCTGTATTGATTTTGTGTGGCATTTGTTGCTTTAGGTGAGATTTTAATCTGTCTAGGAGAGAAATGCTACTTAGTGGGAAGAAAAATGGTTAGTCCTCTATTATTCTTTTGGCCTCTGATTATTGCAGGATCTAATGCTTTTTTCACTGTATAAAATTTGGTTGTCTTAATCTTTGGCCTAGCAGTAGTTAAGATGTCAATTTTAAAATACAACATTAGAGGTATGTAGTGTCATAGTTTACAGTAATGTTAGATATTTTGAAAGCAAACTGAATGTTTCAAGTGTAGTTTAATGTTGTATACTTTCTAGATTAAATGTTACTTATCAGGTTGGCGGTGATACTCAGTTACAGAAAATATATACCTGAATATCTTCAGTTATATTCCAAATCAACTATACAAATGTATCTAAACATAGACAAGCTTACCAAATTGCATTCCTTATAGGCAAACCTTTCAGAATTGGCTCGTGAACTTGGATCCAATTGTTGTATGCTCTTATTTCTTATAGTTTCTTTTTTAGCGAGCCTTACAGTAATATACGAATATGAATATCAAGTGAAATGAAATCTTAAATTATAAAATGTTATCAGTACTGTGTTCCTACATGACTACAAATGCTCAAAAAGAATACCTGTTTCTTTTCTTTCAGACATGTAATGGTTATTTAAAATAAAACAGGGTGTGGGAAGGCACAACTGAGGCGATTAATAGCAATTACTTTTAAAGAGGTGTAAATAACTTGCTATCCAGACATTACAAATATCCAGGTGCTCTTTATGTGCTGATGACAACAAAATTGAAAAGAAAGACGGTAATAATTCTGACTGGTTTTCTCTGCAGAAGATATTGATTATTTGTGTGTGGTGAGAGATTTGGAAAATTCAATTAAAGGAGTTGTGCAAAGGTTTCATAAATTTTCCTTGTACAGCGTGTACACAGACAATGTTGCGTATTAAATCAATGCAGCACTTCACAATATATTTTCTTTGAAACATAAAAATAAATAACATTTAAACAGTTCTGCTTACTACAGAAACAAGTTTTATTTTCTGCGAAGCATTTAGTCATGTGCTATCACTGACTCATACACATTTGCCAGCTATAACAAATTTTATAGACATTTTCTCCAGAGACATAGTTCATGTACTATGAATTTTTAAATGAGCAAATGGTGAAGAGGAGATGTCAGCAATATAAAAATTGATCAGTTAAAAGATAAAAGCATAAGTAAAGAGATTTGTATGGTAGTCTTAATAGGTTTTATTAAATAAAAATACTATAAAAAGAACCATAATGAATAGTCTAAAGATTTTAACTGTGCTTGAGGGTTATGGAGAAAAATTATTCTGGCACATTTAAGAAAAGAGAGGTTTTATATCAGCAGTCAAGTGATCATTTTTTTCTCTGTTTCTGCTTTCCCTATCCACTTTGGAGTTGCACGTGGCTTAAAATGTGTTAACTTTGCATGCACTTGCAAAAATCAAAGCAAAAATCCAGAGTAAACTTTTAGAGAACTCGTGGTCTCTTGTGATTTTGATTGAGATTCTTATAGACTTCACCCAATAGTTACAAATGCCACTTGAGGTTGAATGTCCCATGTTACCTCTGGAAAATTATCTTCCTACTCTTTCTTGTGAGAGACAAAAAGGGGGAGGGAAAGTTAAAAAAAAAGAGTTTTCACAAAAGAGGTCCCTTTCTCTGTAATTGTGACTATAATAAAAGCAGGATAAAATGACTAATGCAATGGAAATGGAATGGGAATTACTTGGGGTGGGTATTGGATTTGAAGGGGTTTTTTTTGTTTTGTTTTGTTTATCCAGCTTTATAGCTGTAAGACACCAGTAACTCTTAAAAAGTAAATAAATATCCATTTATGGCCACTACTGCTCAGCTGAAAAATCCTCAGCCTTCACATTTATTTGAATTTAATAGTAGATTGTACTCTATAATGGGCCGTAATAAGTGGGAAGAACTGCAACTTGAGTGTGTTAAAACATCATGTTAAGTATAAGTTGTGCTTGTTTTGCAGAAAATCTCCAGCCTACCAATAGCTTTGCATTCCTGAAATCTCTCATTGGCTAAGGTGAGGAGACATTAATGCTTTAAATGTGCAATATAGAAAATCATGTAATGGGAACTTTCATGGGAATTATAGACCTCTGATAGCATTAATTTTTAATGTAATATAACTGATTAAAAACTGTTTCAAAAGTGTTCATCTGATTGAATTAGTCAATGGAAAAACAATGCATGTGGATCACAATTATTTTCTCTGCAAATTGGTGATTCTCAAATGGCAAAATATTTTGCAAAAGAGATATTGTGCTGTTTCAGATACAATGAAATCAAAAGCATTCTTTAATCCAAGTGTATATTTATAGGTTCTAATTCCATCCTTGTATTATTCAAAGTAAATCCCATTTTGTGTGTATTTTAATGTGTATATATAAATATTTGTTAGGATATTAGTTTTAATTTTTTTAAAAATTGGATGATCATTAAAATGAAGTTGATAAGGATTTCAATCATTTTTGTGCCATATTCAAGAGTTTTATGTTTACATGGGTACTCAAGATGTACAGTTTGATATTTGTTTTTAGAAATGCATTTCATTCAGCCTTGATCAGATGGTCATACTTCAGAACATATTTCAGTTTGCTTTTATAATTTTGTAAAATCATATTGTGCTAACCAGTGCTAGTTAGAACACATTTTCATGAAGTAATCTTCATCAAGTTGAATGTTATTTATTCCCTACTTAATCAGGATAAGATTGTACTCATTTAAGTATATAATATTTTGAAGACAATGGTTTTCTTATCATCAAACAAAATTTACATATAATACAGAATCGGCATTGTATCAACCCAGGCTGATTTATATTGGAATTTAAGATGGCAGCCCTGTATTTCAGCATCACTGAAAAGTGGGTGATTCTGAGTTGCATAGTGGCCTGTTCACTCTCGCATTCTATGAAATATATATTTCTCCCTTGTTTGTTACCATTATAGCACAAGAGCAAGTAGACTGCAGTTTGCACTACAGCTCTGATCCTTATAACTCTTATATTAATAAATATAACGTTATTGAAGAGTACAGCAGTAAGAAAAACAACAAATAGCACTGTCTTAGGTTGTTCAACTAGAAAGAAAAATGCACTCTGAACTGCTCAAGGGATGAAAGAAGCATATATACTTGGAGCTGAATCAGCAGAAGTTCAGCAACAAAACTTAGTGCAGCACAAAAGAAAAGCAGGGTGGTTTTTTTGTTTTTTTGTTTGCTGCCAGTGAGAAAGCAATAGAGTTTCTTCATCCTTGGCATTTTGAAACACAGTCCGAAAGCTCAGCAGGACAGCACAAGACCATGCACAAAGGGCATCCTAAACACTCAATAAGCCAAGAGATGTTTGACCATCTTAAAAATACCCTGAAGGCCAGCTTTAGTAGGATGCCAGATGCGACACAGAATGAGGATGTACACCAAAGCTCAACAAACAAACCAAGACAGCATTAGTAACTGTGCAAAGCAAAGTAATGCATGTATGAACCAGTGACGTGCAGTCGGGGGAGGCAGGGGAGGCAGAGCCTCACCACTGTCATCATGAAAAGAAAAAAAAAATTAAAAGGAAAAAGGCTGAGGTAGTTGCTGCCAGAGTCCCAATGGATGTCTCTGCTTAGTGCTTAGCTGTGTAAAAAAGCCTCTTAAAAAGTGTGCTCTACAGAGGGTGGCAGGAGAACG